TTAGGTTTAGTCTTGTATAGAGAATGATTCGAAAGATTCTATTATCTGAACTAACGCATGTTATTATATTGTAGGAATTTGCTACTCATTGAATAGCACCAAACGAAAAAAAACGTATAGAATATTTTTAAAATTTAACCTGCATAGAAGAAGAAAATTGAAGAATGATTCATATCGTCAGAGTATAGCTCATAAAGGAAAACATCCTATTGATTATACATTTACCTTAACCTTGTAATTAAAGCGATATTGAGAATTTTATATACTTTACCGTCACTTTAAAATTCATTATCTATCTGTTGAATTTATAAAATGAAAAAAAGATCAAAACTATGTAATCGACTATATGGATAGTGTGTGGACAGACAATAAAGCTTTTCGTTTTGTAAATAAATTTCGAAAAACAAAATTTGTATAAATCAACTTAAAACTACAATGAGCATTAGTTACATATATGAAGTTGAATAGATAGATAGAGAAATTTAGTGAGAATAACTCATACAAGTAAAAGCATCAGACAACTAAGCATTTTTAATGAATACGAATCATTCATTATGTTAACTGATATAGTTGAATTAGAACTCACATAAATACTTACAAATGGCAAGTGCTGAGCGTATTCAAGCGTGTTATTTTCCTTTTTCACATAACTAGTTTTCTGTCTATTTATAATTTAAATAGATACTTTTATTTGTTTTTAAGTTAACATAATTAGAAATATAACCAGACCATATTTTATTTAAAAGAAATCGTATTTCGCTCGAAAATATCGAAGAACTTTATTAAATGTACACAATTATCATATTGATGACACAAAACAAAAGAATCTTTCATATTGAACATTTCTGTTGAAAATATGAAATTAACGATATATTTTGCAGTTCTGTACATATCTAAACAGAATAGTAATTTTATTTCGTTACTTTTTTTTCCTTCTTTTCCTGTAAATCATCTGGAATTAATCGATTCTGATTCAGTGTCAAACATCATTAATAAACAGGTCTTTAAGATATATGTATTTGTGTTTCTGCAATGAATCTGGACCAGATTTATTGAGAATTGGGAGGGATTTTCTTATAAAGAATATTTTAGTAGAAAGACATTTTTCTTGGATCTTTTTTCTCTTTGAATAGTTGAATTCGGTTGAAGTCTTTTAACTTTTGGAGAGTCTTCTTCAATTTCTATTAAGATCTGTATTCATCTCAACTTAATATTATAGTCTAAAAATTTTGACAGGCATGATTTTTCATCATTATAGATTCAGATAGAACTTGAAATTTTCTATTGTCTTATATTTATCCATATAGTGAATATGTTGAAGAATAATTTGCGAGTGTTACGTTTGTATAGTCTCCTGAATATAGTATAAGAAAAAGTGTCTTCGAAAGCGTACATGCCGATATAATATTTAAATATATTCTTCAGGAATACAAAATAGTTAATAATATATATCTATATGAGATGATAGAAAACTCTCGAAAATGTCTTCATTGCCATTGCATTCAATTTATTTTCTTTTGTTCTACTCATTGTAGACTTATCACCGCCATAAAAGAACTTTCTTTCTATAGAATAATCTTCCAATATAGAAAAAACTTGTTCTGGCGGGGGAATTTTCTTGAATTTCTAAAAAAAAGGTAATCTATTCAAAGTATTTTGCTCGATACTTTCACAATTATTTCATATAATAGCTATACTCGAGAGAGTCAGAGATCTCATTTGATTTTATGTTTTCTCTTCCAATAAATATTCCTGCTAATGTCACATAATAATTTTTCTAAACTGTAAACTAGAAAATAATTTAAAGATTTAAAAATACTTTCGTCATAGGAAAAGACTCAAAATCTGATACTCAAGTTTAAAGATAAAAATACTACGTAATAATTGATAATATATCTGTGCCAAGAAGTACGTCAATCATGAGGGACTAGATTAAATAGGGGGTTATAGAAACCACCGGACTTCAACTTATAAGTCACAGAGCTAATGAACATATTGCAGTGACGTAATTAAGTTTACATTACTAATATACATCCTTGTATGTGACTAACACAGAGATGCATGCTGAACAGTACATAATCTTTTCTCTCTCGCTATTATATAAGCTCACGATATATTGGAAGAAACGGGCAGTATTATAAGTCAGAGAGTAGTTAAAATTTGAGTTGTTCGAAGAAATAGTTTATTAGAATGTAAATAGTTAGGCTTGACTTGTATTGAGAAACATGCGCACATATTATTATCAGCCCAATATTGCTATCTTGTTTTATTGTAAACTCATTATTGAATAAATTATTATAAGTTGGTATTGTCCAAAAATTCTTGCTTATTTTTAAATAATAATAAAAATATTTATTTTACATTTCGATGAGTCCGGCAAATTATTTATGCCAATAAAATGATTAGAAAATCGATTCAATTTTCATTAGTATTCTTGGTTGTACTACTTACAAGAGTTTCGATTAATTATCTCGATACACCCACACCCTCAAGATATGCTCTTTGCATGTCATTTTTTTTGATCGTTTAATATGTTCTACTTTCACAAAAGAAAAAATAAATAAATAGAGTTCAACACTTGAAACTCCGATTGAATGACTTTTTAATGTCTGCTTGGGTTAACTAGATTTAATTATTTAAGTTTGATTTTGTACAAAAATATAGAATTTAAATACGCTTGAGTGAGAGAACAATATGATATATGTGTAATTCATTCTATAGAATAATCTTCCAGTATAGAAAAAAAGAATGATCTATTCAAAGAATTTTGCTCGATACTTTCGAAGTTATTTCATATACTAGCGATACTCGAGAAAGAGAGATATCTCCTTTTATTCTTACTCTTTCTCTTCTAGTTAACATTTCTGCTAATGCCACGTGGACACAGAACGGAGTGACTATTGCTGGAGGTCACGGGGGTGGGAATGCCACTAATCAACTCAACAGCCCTGAAGGTCTTTTCGTTGATGATGATCAAGCAGTGGTTATTGTTGACAACAAGAATCATCGTATCATGCAATGGAAGAACGGTAATACAACGAATGGGCAAGTTGCTGCTGGTGGGAACGGCGCAGGAAATGGATTGCATCAATTGAATGATCCAACTGATGTATTAATTGACAAAGAGACGGATAGTCTCATTATTTGTGATCATGGAAATCGACGAGTTGTACGATGGTCTCGCCGTAGTGGTACAACACAAGGTGAAATACTCATCGGCAACATCTATTGTCATGGAGTAGCTATGGATGATCAGAGATATCTCTACGTCTCTGACCGCGGAAGAGGTGAAGTAAGACGATATCAATTGGGTGAAAATAATGGTACTCTCGTAGCTGGTGGCAATGGCAGAGGTGATGGTCTTAATCAACTCAAGTTTCCGACATATCTCTTTGTTGATCGACAACAAAATGTCTACGTATCAGACCACGAGAATCATCGTGTAATGAAATGGAATAAAGGCGCACAAGAAGGTATTGTGGTCGCTGGAGGGCAAGGCGCAGGGAGTGCTCTGACACAATTGTCTAATCCTGAAGGAATCTTCGTTGATACATTGGGTACACTCTATGTAGCAGACATGTGGAATCATCGTGTAATGCGTTGGACTCAAGGAGACAAGAAACAAGGCACTGTAATTGTGGGTGGAAATGGCGGAGGACCAAATCAGTTCTACTACCCCATTGGTTTGTCTTTCGATCGACAAGGTAATCTCTATGTCGCCGATATGGGTAATCACCGTGTTCAACGATTTTCCATTGAATAAGACTTCTGAACTGTTTTTTCTTTGTTCGTTTCTTTTTCTATACTTTGAAATAAATGAACAAGAAAAAGAAATTTTCTTTTACTCTTTCGTTTCAAAGAAAAGAAACGAATTGATTGGAATGATAAAATTTTTCTTTTTGCTTACCAGTTAATAGTTGCTAGCGCGACCAAGAATTACCTTGGTGGTGTCATAGAGAGCCAAGGCTCTTAACGTACAGACATAGACGTAACGTGTATAGAACATACAACAGATAGATCAGTATGCGGTCTGTACGTGCTATGGACACCAAGATAGGCTTGGCCAGCTTCACGCCGATGTATGGAAGGCCTCTGTAGGACGCATTAAATATACAAAAGAATGCTTACTATTTTTGTATTACTAAAATAGAAAATAGAAAAGTAAAATTTAAACTATAATGAAAATAGAAAGACAATTATTATTGGAAGAAATGTGATTTGAGCACCGAAAACAAGGTGAAATGAGTACCAACTGAACAGAGCAGTAAAAACTCTATCAATTAAGCTTTAAACCAATTAAGATTGTAGTTAACATGTATTTTGCTATTAAATCATGATTAGCTCTACTCATATTGATTAATCCAATGGCAATTCATAAATAATATAATTACTTGAAGTAATGATTTGTATACAAAAGAAGCGTAAAAAAATAAAAGTCATCAGTAGAAAAAATATGTCAAGTAAAGAATGTCAGATTTTTAAAATCGTCAAAACACTAGACGAAGCTGATGTTATTCTAAAGGAGCATAATGTATCAAAATATCGAGCGTCTGATTTATCGAGCTCTACTAAATATTCTTATCGATGCAGCAATTATCGAAAATATCCATTATGCAAAATCGAACTACAAGTTTATGTTGATAACAATCACCTAACAGAAATTAAATTAATGTATAAAAATGTACATTGCCATGAACAGTGTAATACAACAACTCGTGCACCATCACCTGTACGTGAATTAGTTTCAAACTTCGTTCAATGCAATCTTACAGAAGTTCAAATTAAAAATTTATTATTTGTGAACGATCCAGCAGTTTCAATACCAACTAATCAATTATCGAATTTAATTAACTATGCTTGACGAAAAAATAATCCTGAAATATTTTCGGTTTATGATTTTAATCAATGGTGTATTAATCATAAATATGATGAAAACTCAATCCATTCGACATTTGTACCTTATTATTATATTAATGATATCAATGACATTTTTGTATTGTTTACAACGAAACAATTATTAAAAGATACACAATTTTCATCCTTATTGCAAGTGGATGCAACGTACAAGCCTACATGGAATGAACTGCCATTATTAGTATTTGGTTCATCAGATGCTGATCGTCATTTCATGCCATTCAGTGTGGCCTTAGTATCTAGCGATGAAGGTTCAGCACGTTATATTGATTTGTTTAAGCAACTAAAACTTATATCAGCACAAGAAAATCAACGCGAATATGTTGTACATTACGTAATGGCTGATGGTGCACCTGGTAATATATGCCTCTATCTTAATTCTTTAAGTATTTGAAAGTTTTATATTTAGGAATAACCAGAGCTCAAAAGGAGATTTTCTCTCAAGCACGACGTCTTATGTTGGGCACATGTCGCTCGAAAATGCCGAGATATGCAAACATTCAATTGGACTAGCTATGCTTCTCAATAAATACGAAGTTAATGGTAAAACTCACTTACAATCGTTGAGTAAACGACGTGGTAAAGGTAGATCGAAAAGAGTTCGAACTGCTCTGTTGTCATAATTTTTTTTGTAACAATCATGCTTCCATAATATTTATTTATTTATTTATTTATTACTATGTTTGTGTTCTTCACATTGTGTTGTCAAATGACATCATTTATTTTCTTATTTCACATAGATAAATTTTGTGCTCATTTCACCATTTTTCCGGTGCTCTTTTCACATATAATCAATTTGGTGCTCATTTCACCTTTCCTTCGGTGCTCAAAACACCCCCCACCCATGATTTCTAACGGTGAAAATCATTACTATGTATAGTCATTTTTGTCATTCGTGATAATTAGAGAATTGGTAAGCAATCGAGATCAATCCATTTCATTTCTATTTCTAAAATCAACATCCCGCTCACTACATACATAGTGTTCTTCTATGGTTTTGATTGATTGCTATGCAATCGATCGTAAAGATCACAAGCATTCCTAAGAATGACAAAAAAACAAATCGTGTAGTATTGACTATACCACTAATTGATCTTTTATGTTGTTCTTCTTCGCCTTCACAAAATGAAAGAAGTTAAACACTAATTCAACAACATCAAATGGTTATCGAAATCCATCACAATGGCAATTTTCAATTGTTACATCATTATATTATGGAACAATGAATTCATGAAAACAAAAACAAAAACAAATCTTTCTTGTAGTTAATTTTCTTTATTTTTTAGTTTGAATATTATTCTACTGTTTATTACTTATATTCATGAATTAAACAACAATCGGTTATACATTTAAACGTTGAACAACTTCGTCTTGCATAACATAATAATATTCATTTAATCGATTGGAAGCAATTGGAAGCAATACTTAATTAGAGTAAGGATTCATTCATTTTAAGATAAATTTAAGTAGTTTAGATATTTAAAAGTAGTTCGACCATCATCATGTCAAGATGAAAAACCTCTTCAACAAATCTTCTATGGTTTGCATCTAGATATTGTTAGAGATTTATTGAAAAAATTATTTCGACTTCAATCATCGGAATTTTGAAAATATATTTGAATTATGTTCAACATACACGTTTTAATACAATCATCATCGCAAACTTTGTTAAATGTAATATTAACAATGAGAAGTATGATTTCAGCATCAAATGATTGTCAAGAAATGGTAATCTTTTTTTTCAACAATGGTTTGAAACAACTATAATTTATGAAAGACTATATATTATTCAAATTCGTGTTACATCGTATATGCACTAACAACACTTATTATCACGAATGATTCTGGTCGTGATATATTATTTCCATCACAAAATTACAATTACTTGTTCATAAGTTCAACGACAGATTCTGTACCTCTTAAATATTCAAGTTTGACTTTTGAATAATTTCACGGAGAAATAAATTTGATTTATTCTGAAGCTATTCTGATTAAAAAATATAATGGTTTATTTTACATGTATACAAAACTGCTCATTAAATTATTCGCTTTGCATCAGAATTACTTAGTCAATTTGTTACAATTTTTCGTAGCTCTTCTTAGTTTACCATTAAAAACGATGATCAATGGTTCGATCAGTATTGTCATATTTATCTTATTATCCAACCGATAAANGTAGTATTCAAATTCGTCGTATTACATCGTATATGCACTAACAACAATTATTATCACGAATGATTCTGGTCGTGATATATTATTTCCATCACAAAATTACAATTACTTCTTGCGTAAGTTTAATGACAAATTCTGTACCTCTTAAATATTCAAGTTTGACTTTTGAATAATTTCACGGAGAAATAAATTTGATTTACTCTGAAGCTATTCTGATTAAAAAATATAATGGTTTATTTTACATGTATACAAAATTGCTCATTAAATTATTCGCTTTGCATCAGAATTACTTAGTCAATTTATTACAATTTTTCGTAGCTCTTCTTAGTTTACCATTAAAAACGATGATCAATGGTTCGATCAGTATTGTCATATTTATCTTATTATCCAACCGATAAAAGCGGAATAATCAGTTTCTATACTTAAAAAGAAACAGTAAAGAGCAAGTAATGAAAAAGATGAAATAATTCAGGATTAAAATCTGAAAGTTACATTTTGTTCGATCAAATTTTGTTTTTTTATTAAATAACAACAATTATTTGATCAACTTGAATTCAAGATGACAAATTGTAATATTTACGCAGTCTACAAGTGAAATAATACTATTGAGACAATATTCGTAATCTAAATAAAAGATATGATAAAAATTGCATATAATTATCGAAGGAATAATCCAAACTATTCTCTATACATTCTCTGTGAAATTGATATTCTTTTTCAATAGTGTTATCAGTATGCTAATTAGTTTTCTTATTTTTGAACACAAATATGAGAGAGCTGACATTGTTAACGAATTCGTAGCCACATATATCAATACAAAATCGATCTAGTACTAAATCAGAAATTGAACGAATCTCATTAGTTATTTATGTTCTTGTGCTATAATAATAATTATTTCATTAGGTAGATCAACAATATGAACGTTATTTCGATGCATGTTTTCATGTGCTTGTAACATTTTTCTCAAATCTAACATGATTCTTTGTTTATAATTACTCTTCTCACTGGAGGAAAACAATGTCTAGAATCGATGATTTAAGTCGCTGGGGGCTAAATGTAAAATGGAATTCAGTTTGTCTCAGAAAAATTGCTATAACTATTTTATTTTGCATTTAAAAGAAGCTTTGGTCACCTATTTTCTATGTGTTCTGTAGAACACAATTTTGTTCAGAGATTCATAATTGATTTGTTTGTGATTTTTTCACCAACCAGTCGTTCAAACTCTTCTCTATTGCTCTAAATTAATCCTAGGTTTATAATTCAAAAAAAGATTTCGCAACATGCCATTTACAATTTACTAAGCGGTAAAGGATCTCTCATGATCGGATACATGTTGCAAAGATGAAAAATATCGAGTTGATGGAAAGATCGATCTGTTACAAGAGCTCAACTCCTCATTTCAAAATGCAAAGAACTCACAGCACCTATCGTGCGTGCGTTCGTTTCTTTCTCGTCGTCTAGCATAAGCTTTTTCATGAGATTTCGATGTCAACAAATGTAAGCTAGTTTTTGTTGATGATGATGAGTAACCAGATTAGCATCAACTTTGTATTTTTATTCTATTAAAATTTTTCTCAAAAATAACTGTAGAATAATCAGATAAAGTAACGCTACGTTAGCGTCGCCAACCCTCTACTGAAAGGATTTAGTCATGTAGAACGTAGCTATCCAAAACTATCTAGCTGAGAGACTACATTTTATAGCTTCGAAATGATTTTCATGGAAAACATGATTGATAACCGAGCACAAATAGAAAACTTGCTTGGAAGTATCACCAAGAAAACGATATTTGAGTAGTACTTACTAGTACTTTATGGCGATAGTGAATTTAAGTGCATCCGATCTACTACAGCTGAAGCTATGCTTCCAAAAACTTTCGATCAGCTTGATAACAGAGTGAAGAAAAAGATCCATTCAGGAGAGCTATAATCGAAATACTCCATTTTAGTAAAGTTACAACTCAAATTGGTCTATGAACTAGATATTTAACATGAATCTGCACAAGTAAATCATAGATCAAATCAAAGTGACTTTTTCTAACTCGATCTCGGTTAGCTTTATCCT